CCCCACCAGGTGGGACACGGCCGGCCAGGAGCGTTTCAAGTGCATCGCCTCCACCTACTACCGGGGAGCACAGGGTGAGCTCCCCACTGCATCCCAACTGCCCACTGTCCCTGTCCCCATCCCCACTGCATCCCAGCTGTCCACTGTCCCTGTCCCCATCCCCACTGCATCCCAACTGCCCACTGTCCCCATCCCCACTGCATCCCAACTGCCCACTGTCCCCATCCCCACTGCATCCCAACTGCCCACTGTCCCCATCCCCACTGCATCCCAACTGCCCACTGTCCCCATCCCCACTGCATCCCAGCTGTCCACTGTCCCTGTCCCCATCCCCACTGCATCCCAGCTGTCCACTGTCCCTGTCCCCATCCCCACTGCCTCCCAACTGCCCACTGTCCCTGTCCCCATCCCCACTGCATCCCAACTGCCCACTGTCCCCATCCCCACTGCCTCCCAACTGCCCACTGTCCCCATCCCCACTGCATCCCAACTGCCCACTGTCCCCATCCCCACTGCATCCCAACTGCCCACTGTCCCTGTTCCCATCTCACCCCTCCTTCCTCCCCCAGCCATCGTGATTGTCTTCGATGTCAACGATGTGGGGTCCCTGGAGCATACACGGTAGGTGACACATGGCCCAGGGCTGGGACCAGGGATGAGCGTGGGGGCCTTGAGGGCTGAAGAGAGAGGGGCTGTGGGGCTGCTGTGGTGTGTGAACACAAGAGCAGTGCTCGGCCAGCAGCTGGTGACAGTGGCTCCCACAGGCAGTGGCTGGCTGATGCCCTGAAGGAGAACGACCCATCCAACGTGATCCTCTTCTTGGTGGGCTCCAAGAAGGATCTGAGCGTGAGTGTGTCCCTCTCCCTGTGGGCAAACTGTGCCCTGGCTGTCCCTGTCACCCACCCATGCCCGGCTCGGTTGGCAGACGCCAGCACAGTACAGCCTGATGGAGAAGGACGCTCTCAAGGTGGCTCAGGAGATGCAGGCAGAGTACTGGGCTGTCTCCTCACTCACTGGTGAGTCCCAGCTGGGTGGGGGGATGCAGATCCCAGCGTCAGCCAGGTCAGGGGACACTCAGGGGGTCTCTTCCCATGGGGCAGGGGAGAACGTGCGGGATTTCTTCTTCCGAGTGGCAGCCCTGACCTTTGAGAGCAGCGTGGTGGCCGAGCTGGAGCGCGGCAGCAACACCCGCAGGATCGGCGACACCGTGCGTGAGTAGCCCTGGCCAGCCCTCCATGGGTGTCCCCCTTGTCCCCACACCCACCCACCAACCCTCTCCTTTTGTCCCTCAGGGATCAGCAGCAAGGAGAGCGACCTGTACCTGTCAATGCCCCGCAAGAAACCCAAGTGCTGCCAGTGAGGGGACAGCCCCAGTCCCCTCCATGCTCACACCAAAGAGGGGCGACCCCGGCCGGCCCCGAGGAGACGTCCCTGCCTCCCCCAGCCTCCCCTGGCCCCTCGCCTGCCTGGGCACCCCTGTCCAGGGCAGGCAGGAGCACGTGTGTGGCTCCTGTAGCTATGCAAACCCAGGTACTGCTGCAGGGGGAAGATGCCCTCAGGCTCCCTTTTGTCTTAATTAAACCTTTTTTATGCTTTGTAAGAAAGGCATGGGGCTGCTTGTGGGTTTCCCTGTCCCTGGGTGCAGTCCCCAGGCTCATAGGCAAGCAGGAGGATGGATGGCTGCCACTGAGTACGGGTTCCTTCTTCCACCAAGGAGCATCCCTATCCTGCAGAGCCAGCAGCCCTGTGTCCCTCAGGGAGCTGCAGGGGACACACGAGGTGCCAGTCACACATCAGGCCCAGCCAAACTTGTGCTGGTCAAAGTGTGGCTGCAGGCTGGGGGGGACACAGTGGGAGCACTTGTAGCGCTCCTGGATCCACTTCCCTCCCTCGCTGTTCTCCATGCAGATGGCAGCGACACCTGTGGGGTCACACAGTGGGGCTCAGCACTGGCCACCACAGCCTATGGGAATGGTGGTCCCATGGGTGCACCCTGGGGTGCCCTCTCCTACCTGCCACGACCCCGCCCAGCCGCTCCACCAGCTCGATGGCCGCTCTCATGGTGCCCCCAGTTTCAACCCACTGATCCACGAGAAGGATGCGCAGACCTGGAGGGGGTGAGGCTGTGGATGAGTGCCCTGTGCTCACACTGGCAGCCCTCCCAAAAGGGGAGCACCCCGTGGGCTCACCCGGCAAGATGGCATCGGTGCGGACCTCCATCACCTTCTCCCGGCCCGAGTAGTCGGTGTAGGGCTGTGCCGCTGTCTGCACACAGAGGTGCCCGGCTTTGCGGATGGCCAGGAAGCCTTTCTGCAGCGTGGCAGCTGCTGCAGCGCCTGGAGGTGGGGACAGCACTGTCAGGACCCCCAGGACCAAGGGACAGAGACCCCACACTCACCTGTGTCCCGTGTCCCCTCACCCAGGATGAAGCCCATGGCGTCGATGCCGGCCACCATGTCGATGGAATCTCCCTGGAAAGGCTGCAGCAGGTCGGCCACGCAGTCCTGCAAGCCCTGGGGGAAGAGTGGAGGTGCTGGGTGCCTGCAGCCCACCATGGACACCCACAGCTGGGTGCCCCAGCAGCCCTGTGGAGATGTAGCCCACCCTGGCACCCCTGTGGGTGCCATCCCCCCCAGGCACTGGGTACTTGCGGGTGGCAGTAGAGCCGGGAGGGGTCCAGCCAGGCATAGTTGGGACCCTTAACGTTGGGGGCCATCAGTGCCAGGTACCAGCCCTTCTCACGGGTGGCAGGGACGTGGCACAGGTCCATGCGTGGGGACTGCAGGCGCTGCAAGCACTGAGCATGAAGGGGGGGTCAGACTTCCCACCTCCAGCCTCCACTGGGCTCCCCGTGGCCTGGTGCCCCCCACTGTGTCACCCCAGGGCCCAGGGTTCCCGTTCCAGCTCCATACCTGGGTGCTGGTGGCCGGGCTGAGCCGAGCAGGACCGTCACAGAGCGTCACAGACAGCGACAGCTGGGCAGGGGCAGCCCCTGTGGCACTGGGCCAGCACCCTCGGCCAGCTGGACACTGGGACAGTGCCAGGCAGGAACCCTTCCCATGGGCCAGTGATGTCCCCCACCAGCTCTGCTGTCCCAGGCAGGCAGTGCTGTGGTGTTTGCACCCCACGTGGGTGTCCCCAGCACCAGCTGCCTGTGCCAGCAGTGCCAGGGCATGGCGTGGGTGGCACAGTGGGGTGGCACGCTGTGGTGCAAGGGTCAGTGAGCCAGGGTGATGCTCACAGGGTGATGCTCAAAGGGTGATGCTCGGGGGATGTTCTGCAGCTTTGGGTGGCCCTGGGCAGGGCAGGGGTTTTTGGAGTCCATGCACATCCACATTGGGGTGGCCAGGCATTGTCCTGCCCGGCTGAGCTCTGGCTCCCACAGTGAGCCAGGGCTGTGTCCTGACTGTCAATGGGCTCCAAGGACAGGAGCTGGCCAGGGGGACAGCCCTGGCAGCGCTCTGGGAATGCTGCTGTGGGCTGCCAGCCCAGCTGGGCACCGGGCTCTGGGCTGCCCTGTAAAAGGCACTTCTGCAGGACGGGATGCAGTGGCACAGGGAACGCCCATGGGATGGGATACGGGGATGGAGCAGGCATTCATGGGATGGGATGTGCAGATGTGGGGAGCATCCACGGGAAAGGACACGGGGATGCAGGAAGCATCTGTGGGCTGGGATCCGGGGCTGCACAGAGCATCCATGGGATGGGAGCATCGTTCTCCCGTCGGGGGCCGCTCGGGGCCGGGGGCTGTGCGGGGCCCGGCGCGTCACGGGGCGGGGGTTTGTGGCCGGCTCGTTACC